ATCTTCGGCCTGTGGGAGCGAGTTTCCCACGCCTCGGACATTAAAGCCGTGTCCATTGGGATAAACGCCATCGAGGCTATTCTCAAAGGGAATCCCCATCTCCACGAGCTCTCAGGATTTTCGGGCCTACTGTCCAATCTGCAGAAAGCCAAGGAGACAGTACAAATTCGCGAGCTCGTCATACCGCAACAGCGACCGCCACAATCGGGAAACGTTTCCACGTTACTGCCACTGGACTCCTCTCCATCCACCCTCCACTCTGACTGTCACTCACCCGCTGCTTTTCTCGCAGCAATGTGGTCGGAGGATGAGGAGCCGGCCGCGATCTCTCCGTCGTTGCCGGTTTCCTCCATCACCGCACCTCCGGCTTCCCGAAGAAAACGGCATTCACGCCGCCGACGCGCCACCCCACAGCCGGACATTCGGCCTTCTAATTCACCTGCTGTGCTACCAGAAGCTCCGTCGGCTCCCTCGCTGCTGCTTCCAGCTCGGTCAGTTCCCTCACAGCCCTTCACAGCTCAGTCAGTTCCCTCGCAGCCACCCTCAGTTCAGTTAGCTCCCTCGCAGCCACCCTCAGCTCAGTTAGCTCCCTCGCAGCCACCCTCAGCTCAGTTAGCTCCCTCGCAGCCACCCTCAGCTCAGTTAGCTCCCTCGCAGCCACCCTCAGCTCAGTTAGCTCCCTCGCAGCCACCCTCAGCTCAGTTAGCTCCCTCGCAGCCACCCTCAGCTCAGTTAGCTCCCTCGCAGCCACCCTCAGCTCAGTTAGCTCCCTCGCAGCCACCCTCAGCTCAGTTAGCTCCCTCGCAGCCACCCTCAGCTCAGTTAGCTCCCTCGCAGCCACCCTCAGCTCAGTCTCCAGTGTCCCCCTCAGCTCAGTCTCCAGTGTCCCCCTCAGTTCAGTCTCCAGTGTCCCCCTCAGTTCAGTCTCCAGTGCCCCCCTCAGTTCAGTCTCCAGTGTCCCCCTCAGTTCAGTCTCCTGTGTCCCCCTCAGTTCAGTCTCCTGTGTCCCCCTCAGTTCAGCCATTAACTCCACCACACGCTCCATTTTCACCTCTACCATCGCTTCAGTCATCAGTTCGGTCTGCCACTCAGTCGCCCTTAGTTCCGTCATCCACACTACCACCTGTTTCTCTTTCACCACAACCGTCGCTACACCCAGCCACTCAGGCTGCTACTCAGTCAGTCATTCAACCCATAGCCCTGCCGTTACCATACCCTGTAGCTGAGCCACTAGCCGCCCGACCCACAGCCACTTCAGCCACTCCTTCACCCGTTACACCTCCACTACAACCATCACTGCAGTCTCCAGTGTCCCCAGTGCGGTCTCCAGTGTCCCCAGTGCGGTCTCCAGTGTCCCCAGTGCGGTCTCCAGTGTCCCCAGTGCAGTCTCCAGTGTCCCCAGTGCAGCCTCCTTTAGCACAGTCACCCACTCAACCACCAGCACCACAACCGTCACTACCTCTAGTTCGTTCCCCTGTGAAGTCATTAACTCCACTACCTACTCCACTCTCACCACCACCGTTACTACAGACAGCAGCTCAGGTCCCCGTGTGTCCAGCAGCTCAGGTCCCCGTGTGTCCAGCAGCTCAGGTCCCACCTGAACCTTTGGCCCTGTTCCCCGTAGCAGTGCGGTTTTCTAGCCAGCTTAACGTTGAGCCCGGGGTCCCAATTCTCTCTGGCTCTACATCAGCTCTTGCTGGAAGCTCGGATGAGCTCATCCAGGACTCCGCGGCCCCCACGCCGCCATCTACCTCGTCCGCTGGGGGTTCCAGTGAGCCCGGCCAGCACCTTCCTGTCTCCGCTGGAGGGTCCGAGGGGCCCGTTCAGCCTCCTGTCTCCGCTGGAGGGTCCGAGGGGCCCGTTCAGCCTCACGTCTCCGCTGGAGGGTCCGAGGGGCCCGTTCAGCCTCACGCCGCATCAGCTGGAGGGCCCGAGGAGCCTGTCCAGCCGCCATCTGCGACCGCCTCGTCATCGCCTGGCCCGGCTACATCCGCCTGTGCTTCTGCTACGCCTGGCCCGGCCTCAGCCTCTGCAACCTCGCCTGGCCCGGCCTCAGCCTCTGCAACCTCGCCTGGCCCGGCCTCAGCCTCTGCAACCTCGCCTGGCCCGGCCTCAGCCTCTGCAACCTCGCCTGGCCCGGCCTCAGCCTCTGCGTCCTCGTCCTCTGCAGCCTCCTCAGAGCCTTCGTCTGCCGCAGCCTCCTCAGAGCCTTCGTCTGCCGCAGCCTCCTCAGAGCCTTCGTCTGCCGCAGCCTCCTCAGAGCCTTCGTCTGCCGCAGCCTCCTCAGAGCCTTCGTCTGCCGCAGCCTCCTCAGAGCCTTCGTCTGGTCCAGCCTCCTCATCAGCTGCTTCGTCTGGTCCAGCCTCCTCATCAGCTGCTTCGTCTGGTCCAGCCTCCTCATCAGCTGCTTCGTCTGGTCCAGCCTCCGCATCAGCTGCTTCGTCTGGTCCAGCCTCCGCATCAGCTGCTTCGTCTGGTCCAGCGCCCACCAGGCCATGGCCAGCACGCCTGAGACTGGAGGGCCGCCGCTGCCTTCCGCGCGGTCGGCCTCCTGAACTGCTCCGTCGTCTCCTTCGCCGCCGCCGTTGCCTTGCGCGCGGCCGGCCTCCTGAACTGCTCCGTCGTCTCCTTCGCCGCCGCCATTGCCTTGCGCACGGCCGGCCTCCTGAACTGTTTCCGCGTCGCCGCCGTTGCCTTGCGCACGGCCGGCCTCCTGAACTGTTTCCGCGTCGCCGCCGTTGCCTTGCGCACGGCCGGCCTCCTGAACTGTTTCCGCGTCTCCGCCGTTGCCTTGCGCACGGCCGGCCTCCTGAACTGTTTCCGCGTCTCCGCCGTTGCCTTCCGCATGGTCGGCCCCCTGAACTGCTCTGTGTTTGGGTTATTTTCTTGGGCTCCGGTGTTTGCTGTGCTCTTCTTTTGTTTTCTGTTCCGAGCCCTCCGTCCTGGGCCCCCGCCGCCCGCCCTGGGTTGTTTTCTGTTTGGTTTTGTTTTTCTGTGTTTGGGCTGTCTGGAGCCAGCCCTTGAGGGGGGGGTACTGTCACGGTCCTGGGTCTCCTGACCCAGCGTTTTTAGTTCTTTGTGATTTTCGTATTATTGTACTTGTGTGTGATTTATTCTATGGCTTCTAGTTTTGATCCCTTGCCCTTCATGTCTCCCTGTGTGCCCCTCTGTGTATCTGTGAGCCCTCGTCTCTCCTTATGTTTTATTCCATGCTTCCCCTGCCCATTATGTCTAAGTTCTCCCCGTGCTCTCTCTTCCCCCTGTGTGCCCTCTATGTATTTATGAGCCCTCGTCCCCTTTCGTGTTTATTCCATGTCTCCCCTGCCTGTTACGTTGGTGTTCTACTCGTGCTCTCTCTCCTCCTGTACTTCCTGTTTCACCTCTCCCGTCAGTGTTCAGTTCACCCCGCCCTGTCTCGTTATGGTTATCAGTGTCACCTGTGTTCCCCGTGTGTTCCCACTTCCCTCGTTAACCCTCTGTGTATTTCTGTCTGCGTCTCCCTCTGTTCAGTGTGACGTCGTCCCTCATGTTGTGTGGATCTCCCTGTGTCTCTCTGCGTATGTTAGTTTACTTTTCCCAGTTTAGTTTTGTATTTCCTATGTTCTGCCGTTCCAGCATTAAAGCTGTGATTTTGAGTTCATCCCCGTGTCTGTGAGTTTTGCGTTTGGGTCCTCCCCCTGCCTGCCACACAGCCGAGCCTTGACAACAACAGTGGCCTCAAAGTGCTTTAAAACTCTTTTGTTTTTAAATCCCATCCTTTAGTGCCCTTAGAAACCTCATTAGATCTATTAAGATGCCGCTACAAACTGCGCACACATATAGAGACACCTGACTCTTGATGTCAGAGGTCTGAATAAGTCGAACAGGTTTTAATATTTGGTAGTTAATCTGGAACCACTGGATGTAACTGACTGGATCTGAAGATATAATAAATGTGGAGGTGTATTTATTTTTTCGCCATTCTAGTGTGTTGCATTGTTAAATATTCATAATAATTTTAGTTCTGATTTGGTCTTAACCAATTTCTGAGAATAGTACTTTTAGCCATTAGCCTAGTTATCACCCTAGCTATCTCTAGCTTCTGAAATCTTGACTTTCCTCATCAGTTAGTTTCAAACCTTTTTGGGCCAATATTCGGTGCTAAGCACACAATATACAATGTGTTTGCTTTATTTTTCAGATAGAAAATAAGGTTAAACTGGATTTGAATATTTTTAGACTGTTTTTGATCATTCTTTCATTTTAAAATTGCTAATTTGATCATTTGTCCCAGTATATGTAATACATTTCCATGTCAATGCATAGATGATGTGTATATGATTGTTTTTGTGCCCTACAACTTATCTCTTTTTGACCATAACCTCCTCTACATCTTGTGTTTGTTTGTTTATTTTTCTTCTGGTTTGAAAAACCCTGTCCACAACAAAGTCCATTTCCAACATAAAGTCAGAGGAGGACACAGTTCTATCCTCAACTTATCTCACTGCCTGCTGCCCAGTTATGCCTCATCTAAAACCCAACACAAGTCCCGCCACTGTCACAAAAACTCCAGCTCTGAAAGATTAGGCTCACTGTCCATCTCGAGGTCCCACATACCCTCTTCACCTTCTTCCTTTTCTCCCCTATCCTCCTCTCCTTCCTCTTCATCTCCCACTTCAACAGCTCACAGTCCATATCACCTAGCTCCAGACAGCTCTTCCACACGTCAGCGCAGTTTCCTCAACACAGCAGAGATTCTCAACCAGTTGGGCCTGCTGGCTATTACACTACGCACCAAGGAGCTGCTAAAGCAGAATGTTGCTATAGAGAGAGAAATTACTCAGTTACATCAGCACACCCATCTCTTATCCCAGGCCAGCCAAAACAGTGGCACTGAAGTCTCACATAGCCTTGACAAACTCTTCCAAATTATGAGAGAATCAGGCCTACTTGAACTTGGTGCTTTTGTAACCAATACATCTACTCAACAAAGAATGAGTGAAGCAATATGGATGACAGCAGAGGACAATTTATTTAGGGTCTGATGGCAATTTACCATCGGTGTCCAGCACTTTAAAGGATTGATGGACTGGAGCACATCTGTCCTTAACATACCCTCTTAAACATCAGCTTGACACTGATACATCAAAGGAAACTTAACCAACTCTAAGGGCAAATGTTTCAACCTGAACAACTTAAAACTTCTCTGGGATACAATGTAAACAAAGACAAGAAGAAGAAAAAAAATATTTCCATCAATAGCCACTTCTCCTAACCAGGAGACAAGTGAATATATTATGTAAAGAGTCTTTTTTTTCTCAGTCCTGGGGTTGTAACACCACAACCTCCTCAGTCCGTAATCAGAGAGTGTCTATTTGACAATAACCAAAATGTCTTTGGATAGTCTTTGTGAATGCAAAAACAAAACAAAAAAAACAAAAAACAATGGTGTTAGCTGGCCAGCAAAATAAAGAGAGTGTATGGCACTGAGTGCGGGCGTGTGTGTGAGTACTTCGGTCCAAATAATCGAGGTCCGGATGGATGAATGGATGGCAGCCGCCGGTCCTTTAATGGCACCAGCGAGACACCACGGTAGTAAGGCAGTAAGGCAGCACAGCAGTAAGGCAACACAGCAGCGAGGCGTCTGGCAGGAGAACGAACAATAGTCTTTTTTAAGGCTACTGCAGAAGGAGATATTCCCCGCTAGCTCACCAAAGCTTGCTCTCTGGCACAGCTACAAGCCACGTGAGCTCGTAACCCCTCCCGCTAGGATGTACTACCACAGTCGACTGTCGTAAAGCAGCCGCAAACCAATAGCAATAAAAAAAACTCAAAATCATTGAAGAACATTTTATAACTGAACACCCAATATAGATATATACATAAATACTGAATATCACACAATATCAGATAACCAAATTAACACTGGGTTACACTTTCAGATGATGAAAGTCTCAGCAGCAGCCACCAACAGAGGAAAACTATAAGACTGCAAGACTACAAAGAGGATAACAACACAGAAACCTCTGAAATGCAAAGTAGCCTACCACAGGTTGTGTCTATACACAACATGAATGATGGAACATCACCGCCCTCTCCATTGTTTGCTCCTTCACCGGACACAAAAGAAGCAGACCATGCTTACAGTTCAGAGCTCATGTCCCTGTCTCTCTTTTTCTAGATCTGTTCATAAACAAGGACACAGTGAGTCAGTCATGGAAAAGGACTTAAGTGATTTTACTGTTTTTCCAGAAACGTCAACACATAGCAACTATCTCCTCTAGAATCTTGGTGAAGAGGAGGATGTGTTATACAAAAATGTGCAACCTAGCAATACAAGAAAGCATTTGACTGAATTGAAAACTAATGAAAAATGGCCATAGAAAGGGTGATTTTTACTGATATATATACACAATTTAATGTTCAACACGATTTAAATATTTTACTACATTTTGTCTGGGATTTGCTCGTTCGAGGTGAACATTTTTCATCAATAGTTTTACTTTATGTGCACAGGACTTATATGTTCAGTCAGGCAACTACAGCATGTTAAAAAACAAACAGAAGCACATTTGTGTCAGGGTTTCTGGGTCGTTGACCCAGTATTTTCAGTTCATGTTCACTGTTTATCCTCTGTACGTTCCACTTCCTGTTTTGTGTTACGTTACTCTGTGTGCATTATGTTCTAGTTCTTATTCCATGCATCGTTAGTTCAATTGTGTTCAGCTGCTCACTCACCTGTCACCTATCAGTCATTGTTCAGCCAGTGTATTTAAGTCCTCAGTTCTCTCTTGGTCGGCGTCGCGTCATTAATGTTGTCACTGCTGTCTATGCCCCATGTTTGCCTCCCAAGTTCAGATCAGTCAGCCGTTCATTCAGTTATTCAGTTATTCAGTCAGTCAGTCAGCCATCTCCTGTTTTCGTCATTCGTCCCTCACAATAAACATCCTGCATCTTCACCGTGAGTCCTGCGTTTGAGTCCTTTTCTCCACATCCACTCAGCAACCCCTGACAATTTGCTGTCATGACTCGGGTCTCTTGTGGAGTATTTCAGCAACTGAAGAGAGACAGCGGTCTTTTGCTTTGTTACTTCAGAAAACAATACTTCCTGTCATTTTTTCAGTATTGTAAATTGTTTGTAATAAAAAGCTTCAATGTACAGTGATACAAAACGCTTGAGTCTTGTTGAGAAATCAATTTTACCCTGGTTCTTTTATTCCCCGGGCATCCAGAGATGGCACCGGAACCCAGTAGTTATTTCACAAAACCTTTATTCATCTTTATTCATCTTCATTTAAGTATGCATCTTCTAGAAAGGGAGATGTGCCAGGCCGGTGTCCCTCTGCAGATCTTCCACGTCTTTGTTAGTTACAGCCAGCATTATAGAAGTGACCCCATCATAAAACCCCCATGGTGTGCTGCAAACTCCGTGTGTCTGTGTGTGTATGCACAAGCACGTGAGTGCCTGTGTGTGCGCGTACCCGTGTGTCTATGTGAGTGCACGTGAGTGACTGTGTGCGCGTACCTGTGTGTATGTGTGTACGTACGTGAGTGAGTGTGCGTGTGGGTGTGTCGTAACAGTTAAAGCACTGTGTGTCTCTGTATACGTGACTGTTTATTTATGATCTCAGTAATCAATAACCGTCTTCAAAACAGACTGAATCATTTAAGCAGCTTGAATCAATTTGATGGATGAATAACAGGTATGCTTAGAAACAATATGACATTAAGAAAATACTGGAATTTTAAAAAATATTTTCACCAACTTTAAATGGAACCTTTGTAATCAATAACAAATGCCAAACTTTGATACCTTAACCTACGTTAACTAAAAATTGCAGTCTTCTTGTAAACTCTGTCATATCTTGAAATTCTACATAAATACTGTTTGTTACTATAAGGTCAGATCCGGTGCAGAAACGCATACATTTCTGAAGTTTAATGTTATCCAGCTCTCTGATGAATCTTTTGAGATGATTTTTCACTTCTTTTTGTTGTGGAGTCAAGTCCACAGCTAATTTCAGTAGCTGGCACACTTTTTTTGAAGTTGGTTGCAGTTCAGAGAATAACTTGGTCAGAGAATAAGAAAGAAAAGTATGTCTTTGTGCCCCCTTTTTCCCTGTTAATGCCCTATCGGCCCCCCTGGCTAAACTTTGCTAGATCCGCCCCTGCACAGTTACCAGCCGTCAGCTACGTAGAAAATGATCCTGGTGTAGAAAGTAATATTAAATAAATTCTAACAACAGCTTATCAAGGTAAAAACGTGCTGCTGTTGTTCAGCCGCTGGTTTCCTCTTTCTGGCATGAAGTGGGTCAAAAACAAGCAAGAGAGATGAACTCGCGACAGAAAAGCCGATCAGCTGATCGTCAAAGGAGCGTGCAAAGAAAAGCGTCTGGACTTCTTTAAGTTGCTTGAAGACGTTTCACCTCTCATCCGAGAAGCTTCTTCAGTTCTAAGGTCAAATGGTGGAGAGTCCCAGATATAAACCTAGTGGGAGTAACCCCCCACAGAGGGACAAAAGGACCCCCTGATGATCCTCTAATCGCCTGAGCCAAGGTGTGAAACTGGGTGTGGGTCCCAATCAGCCAGAGTTTCAGGTATGTTCATTGTGAAACCTGGCCCCACCTTATCATGCAAATTCCTGAGGTCAGATGGCCCAGGATGTGAGTGGGCGTTAAGGCGTCTGGGGAGGGATCTCAAAACTGGATTATAGATGGCAGAGAGTTGGTGTTGTAAACCCCCGCCTCTGTTCAAAGATGGCCGCTCACAGTGGACATAGATGGCTTCTTTCACTCCTCTTTCAAACCATCTGTCCTCTCTGTCCAAAATGTGAACATTGGCATCCTCGAAAGAGTGTCCTTTATCCTTAAGATGCAGATGGACTGCTGAGTCTTGTCCTGTGGAGGTGGCTCTTCTGTATGAGAGCCACCTCTCGGATGAGAGGTGAAACGTCTTCAAGCAACTTAAAGAAGTCCAGACGCTTTTCTTTGCAAGCTCCTTTGACTACGATGACCGGGATGACTGAGAACCTTCACAGACGATCAGCTGATCATTGATCAGTTTCATGAGTGAGGTAGCAGCAGGAAGGGGAGGGAGAGAGAAGAGGCAGTCGCTCCATATATCGGTTGTTAAGCTTAACGCGGGAATGCTTTTACAAACATTCAGAGATGAACTTATACACTTGCTCTACTTCTCTCTGGGATCACTTCCTCCAGATGAAATGCTGGTTTGGTAGTGAGGCTACAAATACACACAGCCGCTCTATCACGTGTGTAAATGGCCTCGCTAGAAGTCTGACTAGCTATCCACACAGCTAAACATGAACCCAGGAACTCCAGACAATAGATGAGATCTTGAGAAGTTTACTGGTTCTTTCATTTTGTGAAACTGTAACAATAAAACATATGTGGAAATGTACATTAATAATCTGTACTGTTAACAACAACATGTGCCAATGATCTAACAATGCATTTGAGGAGCTAGCATGACGATTAGCACCGTTAATTAGCATATGAACTGGCGATCTCATTTACATATGAATAGCACATAGAAAACTTGTTAACTGTGGTCCATCACACATAAAGACAGCACTTTGAGTGCCTCGTTGCTTTTACCATTGAGTACTTACAGACAATGCTTTAACAAACACCCAAAGAAGGACACGAATGTGGAGCAGCCATCTTGAAGCAGTATCGCAAGAAAACATGAACTTCCTGTCTAACTCTTCTTCTACTGTCACAAAATATCGACTTAAAGGGACCGCAGGGCGGCGCACTTACTAACATTTAAAACATGAAATTAACTAAGCAGTAACATAACAACGTGAGCACACTGCTCCCACGTGCTACGGTTATGAGCTGAGTTACGCCGTGTCGCAAGTTTTGTGAGGTGCTTTTTTGATATTTAAAGGATCGGATTACATTTTTTATTTCTCTCCGATATCCGATCCAGTAATGTAGGTCAGTATCGGACCGATACCGATATGTAATATCGGATCGGTCCATCTCTACTTTTCTTTACAGAACCAGCCAAGCTGTATGCCAAGAGTGAACGAGACATTGATTCACTGACCCACACCACCATGATATGCAGCAATGATATCGGCATGTCATTTGGACTGGAGAAGTGTAGTCAGATGGTAACAAAGAGAGGGAAGGTAGTCATAACTGAGGGGATCGAACTACCAGAAGGCAATATTGCAGACATAGAGGACAGCTACACCTGGGGGCACCACAGGTAAATAGGAACCATGAAGAGGTCGCTAGAAAAGCTGCAACCACCAAGTACCTGCAGAGGGTCAGGCAAGTCCCGAGAAGTCAGCTGAACGGTAAGAACAAGATCCGGGGTATCAACACCTATGCCCTGCCCATGATCAGGTACCCTGCTGGAATAAGTGGGCCAAAGGAGGAGATAGAAGCCACTGACATCAAGACAAGGAAGCTCCTGACCATGCATTGAGGGTTTCACCCCAAGTCCAGCACCCTGAGGCTGTACACAAAGTGGAAGGAAGGAGGCCAGGGACTGGTGAGTGTCAGCACCACAGTCCAGGATGAGACAACAAACATCCACAAATACATCAGTAAGATGGCTCCAACCGGTGTGGGCTAAAAAAAACTTTTTATTAAACATTTAAAGAGGACATGAACCACTAAACATATAGAGGCTAATTTACACCATTGAGCCATGGTCTCAAAAACCATAGATGTAACACTGTCTGTGAAGCTGATTTAACCAGTAAGTGGCTGATGTAGCAGTAAGTGGCTCTACGTTGTTTGACTAGCTTTAGTCAAACAGGAAAATCTGCCTGTTAACCATAATGTTTGAGTTTGTAAAGCGCTTTACAAATGAGCACAGTGAACACTGTAAGTGTGAGAGGCTGGGTACGCCCTGGACAAGTCACTCATATGTTGCAGGGCCAACACAGACCCTACATTTGGATTTTAACCCAGGACCTTTTACTGTGAGACAACCGTGCCTGATTTAACGCTTTGCACAGAGCAAATATCTTAGTTACACCACTTAAAGTTGACTGTGGAATATCTAAGAGATATGAAATTTTGCAAACTGACTTCTTGCAAAGGCAGGATCCCATTACAGTACCATCCTCAAATTTAGTGAGATTGCCTGGGTAGTTACTTGATTTTACATAAATGTAGCAAAGGAACTAAAACACCTGCATTCAAAGATTAAGAGCTGTGGCCTGTAGGCCATACAGTGTAAACTTACTAAGACCTCCACAGTTTTGTGAAACTGTTATTTTTGCTGTAGACAAGGGACAAGAGACAAATGAGACAAGAAACTGAATTTAGCTTGGATTTAACTCTTCTATATTTATATATTTTATAAGAAGCAGAAAGCAGTTGTAGAAGAATCTTTTAAAAATAAGTTAACCTTTTTTTGTGTAGCAACTTCTTGATTTTTCTTTTCTTACATTTGGCAGTCATGAGCTGGGGAAAATTTTATCAGACTTTTTAAGCAAACACTGAGTGCTCAGAAAATATCTAGTCACAAACAAGCTCCTCTTCACATTTAAAACCAACTCACTTAGTCCATTCACTGCTGTCATCTAAAATCGTTGACATATTCCGACATAGATGGTCAACTAAGTAGCAATATCCCATCTATCCATTTTCTAACTGCTTATCCAACTTGAGGTCACAAGACTTGAGCTTGCTCACAGCTGTATCAGGGTACAAACTGGTACAACCAGCTCACCAGAAGATCGCAATGCCAGTACAGAGAGACAGCTAAGCATGTGACATCCACGCCTACAGTGCATGTAGGTATCAAATCACCATGTAAGCTAGCAAGCACATCTTTGAATAGTCAGGGGAAGCTGAAGTAACTCAAAAGAAACTCACACAGCCACTGGGAAAGCATAAAAACACTACACAGAATGGTCCCAGTTGACTTAAGGCAGTCAACTGGTACGCGGGAAGTCTCCCCAAAAAAATGTAAGATTAAATAATATACCATGTTCTGATTGAAGGATTTCTGAAAAATGGATTTCTGAAGGGATTTCTGAAAAAATCTGCAATCACTTCTGACATAAATGAAGACAGAAAACTAAACAGCAGTGACGTTTGTAGGGTTACTGAAGTTGGGCTAGCTGGTATATAATGATGTGCTACATCAGACCTTCCCAAAGTGTGGGGCCCGCCCCCTAGGGGGGGCGCAGAGCCATTGCAGGGGGTGCGCGGCATGAAAAGGGAAAAAATACCAAAAACAACGCTTGGACACTGCTAGCACGGGGCGCCTACACAAACGCAAAGCAGGAGATGAAGCATAGCTGAATATGTTTCCAAACCAACTTCATTCTAAGCCAAAGACTAGAAAATATGGTGAAGCATATCTTCCCCTGGTTTCACCAGCACAAGTGCCAAGGTAGGTCTCCCCT